GCAATAAGATGTTAAAATAGGTTTAAAGGAAAATGTGTTTATTATAAAGATTAAAATGTTTCTACATTTGTACTGTTACAGAGAGGAAGTGTTTTCCACAATTTATATTCTATTCCCACAGAGTTGTAAAATAGCCTAGTCAAAGACAAGTGAAGGTTCACACCCCAACAACCAGATAATATGTGTGTGTGTTGTGGGGGGTCCTAGTCCATGCCAAGCATTCCATTGAAAGGATTTGCAGGGATCACTATGTGCATTTCCAAGTCTTGGATACTTATTTCTTTCTTGAATGGGAGTATCAGCTTCTCTTTGATTGGGAATGGGGATTTAGGGACAGGGATCCCCAAAGTTTCTCAAAATCACATCAGATTCTTCAGTATTCCCTACTATCTTAGCTGCTGCTTTGAATTTCAGGTTTTCGTTATGTCTTAACTTAGATTAGTGCCTAACTAGTTTATCTGGCCTTCATTGAGTTATTTCTTCCAGTGCTTCTCAAACTTCATTGTACCTGTCAGTCACTTGGGTAAAATGCAGATTCACAGTTGGGAGGCCTGAGAAAGGCTGAACCTGCATTTTAAACACGCTCCCAAAGGATGCTGATGCATGTGGTCTTTTAGCAGAAATTATCCTACATACAATTTTTAAATGCCTACTGTCATACAGTAGAAGGAAGACAGGGAGAAGGAAGGAGAACCACAAAGTCTGAAATGAGATGGGCGTGGATACAGGTGGGAACATTGGGGGATGATAGATAATCATTCTCATATTACTTGCTCCTCAAAAGGCTAAGCAGTGCCTTCCTCCATTCCAGGATTAAAAATGCTTTCAAAATTTTTTGAATCAATTGATAATCTGGTAAGTGTCTTACTGCCAAAGGCTTTGCTTCTTTGCCATTATCTGACATCACTTCTAACTTTCATAGCCAGTGATAATGACCAAACATATTGAAGGATAAAAGGAGCAGTCAGCTTGAAGGTCCTGAGAACATTTATCTGTGGTAGACAATGAAATGTGGGAAAATACTCCTTAACATGAGATTAAATTTTTTATTATCAACTGTGAAGCTTTCTGACTCTTATTTGTTGAATTTGTAGCTTTCTAGTAGTAATCACTACAAGTCCATGAGAAATAGAGCATAATAAAATATAAATTCCAAAGAAAAAAAAGCCAAAGCAACCAAAAACATTGAAATATGTTTGGCAGGTTTTATTCTCATATTAGACCCTCAGAATAGGAGACAGAGGTATGAGCCAACGGTACTGTGCAGGGTGACTGTATCAGTGGGACACATGGAGAAGGATGGGAACATAGCAAAGAGTGCAAACCAGGTTGCTGAAGTTTTCTGTGTGAAAGGGCAGCTGAATCTTAAGGGAAGAATGACCCTGGCCAGGGGGACAGAGTGTTTAAGGGTCTCTCTGAGGAAGAGCACAGCAAGTGCAAAAGCGGGGCCAGGGCCATGGTGCTTAGCCAGGGCTGTGACAAAGAAATGGGGGCCCATTCCTGCCAAGCAGGAAGGAAGACCCATGAGCAAACATTTCTAGTCACCCAAGTGTGACATGGTGAGGACCCTGCTTAGAAGACGCTGGGCAAGTTTTACTGAGCAAATGGTCCATATTCATGCCATAATATGGCAATTTCCCCAATTCTTACTGTGGAAAAAGCACATCTGCAGATTTTAATTTCTAAACTGCACACCCATGTTCAGAGTTATGCCTAAACATGTTCATGGAAAGTGCTTAGAATTTTTATAAGTGCATCTTTGATGTGATTTTTATGAGCGGCGTTAATTTCTTTCCGCATGAATAGCTTTAATAATGCTGCAATCTAAAATCCTGTTTAAATTAGTTTATATTGTTTTCTGCTTTCTCAGTGATCTTTCCACTGAATACAAAATTGAATTTACAGATGGGCATTGAAAATGACTGCTCCCAATATGCTCCTGTAGTCATCCAGAGGGAGTTACTGGCTTCGTCTTAATTAATATAAATTAAAGACACTTCTTACATGGCAATAAATATTGACCAGAGTTACCAAGCATGCCTTAACTGATGTGTTTTAAATTTAATTTGAATGTCAGTACATCAATCATACATCATTCTGCTGTCATAAGAAAGTTCAAAAATGAAGACGAAGTTGAGAGTTTTCAAAACTCTACACTCTCTTAGGCTAATGGGATTTGTCTACTAGTATGAGTTAAAATGTTAGAAAACCTCTTGGCTACTCACTTTTAAATAGTGTATTTTTAGTTGCTTAATCCTAAGGGTGTTGTTTCCTTTCTAGAAGCTATCAGTTAACTATAATCTGCTGCCTGTAACTTGTGCTTAGCTTAGATCTAGGAGTGAAGAGCAATAAAATGTGTTTTTTTGGACCACTTGAGCAAACATACATTTTTAAAATTTAAGTGTGTTCTTCCTGACAGTAACTTAGTATATTTATGAACTGAACTACCAAGAGCAAGAAAAGGAAAAACTACCCACTACTACGTGCAAGAGAAAGAAAGATGAGGCACATGGCTTGCTCTTGCTTGTGCGTGTGGGCGCACTTTCTCTCTCTCTCTCTCTCTCTCTCTCTCTCTCTCTCTCTCTCTCCCTCTCTCCCTCTCTCCCTCTCTCCCTCTCTCCCTTCCCCCCTCCCTCCCCCCTCTCTTTCTCCCTCTCCCTGTCTCTCTCCCCCACCACAAGTCCCAGGGTTTTTCTTTCTCTGTGCTGTGTAGAGGCTAAGTCTCAGCAAAGGTGAAAAATAGTACATGAAGTCAGTGTTCTTTTTTGTTGTTATTTTTTAAGGAAAAAAAAAAAGATTTCTTATAAGCATTAGGTTTATTTCTGCTGTCTGTTCTGAGATCCATTCTCCAAACATATATTGGCAGGGGGAGCGGTACAGAGTGTGGAGGGAGGCAGAATTTATTCTGACTGTAACGGTCGCAGTGGGCCTCTCACAAACATAATGCTAAATTATGGGCCTCTCTATGGGCTGAGCGTAATGCTAAGTTGTGTATGATGGATTTTATCTTACACAAGCCGCTTCGGTCCATGAAATGAGATAAGAAACCACTGCAGCCAGAGTTCACTGAGGGTTGAACTTAGACTGGAATTCCAGAGTTAACACAATTGCATGAGCCAGCAGTACTACTGAGTGTGCTGTGTGCCTGTGGGTTGAGATTTTCAAGGAAACTTGAGTCTTTCACTTGCAGGATATTCTGTGAACATCCCCAGGCAGTTATCTCCTCTGATTCAAGTGTGAGGGCCGAGGAGTCCATTTGCTCAGAAAAAAGAAAAAGGCTTTGATTCCCCAGGCCCAGAGGACAGCTGCCGAACAAGAGAGGGCCTGGAATTGTGTCTGGTCAGCAGCAAAAGTGACACTGCATCTGGAGAAGGCAGAGCTCACTGTGCATGGCCTTGAGTTGGGCTGAGTCCTGCCTTCACACAATGCATGGGCACCCTGGGCTATACCCCAGTTTGGGCAAATGTCTTTAGGACTTTAGTAAGGTATTTGTACAGCATCCCACAAAATTGGCAAAGTGCTGTAACAAATGGAAAATACACGTGACAATATAATAGTTGATTTTTAAAAATCTGTTAAGTAAAAACTGAATCCCTTCATCAAACATGAATCACCTCTGTCCATAGGTGCATAAATGTGCACAGCACAGGAGGGTTCTCCTAGTCCACCGGGGAGCAGGCAGTACCTGGCACGGAGTAGCACTCAGTGTTTGTCAAATGAATGAATAAGAATCTGAGTCTTGCAGTCTAGTTGGTCCTGATTTTTAGAATTCAGGGTCTGTCTTCACTTGAATACATGTAGGGTAGTTTTCCTAAGTCATGTTTTGTAAGGGGTGGAAAGGCTTCTGCCCTCAAGACTGCCTAAAAAATATGCATCGAGCCTTCAGCAGTCATCAGATCGATTAATGTGATAACTGACATCCAACTTCCAGTTCTCATTAACTTAATCACCTTCACACTTGCTTTCTCTCCACCTCCGAGCCATACAACACCGGTCTGTTCCAGCAACACTCCCAAATAGGCAAGTCTCTTGTTTTCTTTGAAATAAACTTTATCACTTATTTACAGCAGAACCTCATTTCCCACTTTCTATCCTCCTGCCCTGGCCTCATACCAGGTTCAAAGAGACTTTATAGTAGCCATCCAAGAAAACACCAACCACCTCAGGGAGCATGTTCTCTACAAAAAAAAAAAAAAAAAAAAAAGGAAATACTCTATTTTTCAGCCTATTTAAATATTTTTATACTAACCTTAAAATGAAATTAGTTTTGAACTGCAGAACAGAAATGACTTATTCCCACTACTGCCTTGGAAACAATATCTTGCTTTATGACTAGTTTTAAAATAATGTGCCATCTGTGTTTTGATGCTAACTCGGCTGATTTCATAAGTCAGAAAACTAGTATCTTCAGGAAATATCTCTGATAAGAGAATAAAGAAGTGATGCTGAGGCCAAATAGGTTAATAACAGTTTTTTAAGTCAGTTTTAAGAAAGAGTAATCAAGATGTGGTGTTAAGAATGGAGTACAACATATTGCTTACAATGCCCACAGTAAATGTCCTATGATTGAGTCCTTGGAGTTGGTAGGTGAGAGTGGGAGCCTCAGGGATGGTTTCATGGTGCCACGAGTTGATGAAAAAGAGGAGTTAAGAAAAGCAGTCAGTCACAGGAAGGCTCAATTTGTCCAGTTCTGAAAATTTATCCATCAGAATGGACCGTGTGTGTTGTTCTGTTTTGTTCTTTCAGTACTGGGGACACAGTCCAGGGGCCCTCTACCATTAAGCCATATGCCAAGCCCTTTTTTAAAATTTTGAGACAGGGCCTTACTACATTGCCCAGGTTGGCCTCAAATTTAGGATCCTCCTGCCTCAGCTTCCTGAGTTACTGGGATTACAGGTGTGCCTGTCGCATCCCTCACAAATTGATTTTTGAATGGAACCAGAATAAAGCGTTTTTTCTCACCTTGGCATGATTTGTACTTGGTGGTTTTCCATTTCCAGATGATAGCAAGTTCTCCGAGGCTATCACAGTACTGCTTTCCTGGATTGAAAGGGGGGAAGTGAATCGGCGTTCTGCAAACCAGTTCTATTCCATGGTGCAGTCGGCCAACAGCCACGTCCGCAGGCTAATGAATGAAAAAGCCACCCATGAGCAAGAGATGGAGGAGGCCAAGGAGAATTTTAAAAATGCCTTAACTGGGATCCTCACTCAATGTAAGTAAAATTTTGGGGGCCATCTCTTTCATTGTGATTTTGCCTTTTCTTTTGTATTCATTTTATGTTCTCATTTGGGGGTAAGTAGTTCAATAATCTCCCATTTTACTCCATATTGAATGACAAACCTCATAACCTATTTCATGTTCTGTGGCAACTTGGAGGAACACGGACCCTGCCCCGAGAGCTTACTTATCAAGGTGAGCAAAGTTTCTGTAGCTTTTCCACGGAGCACCAGGCCTGGACCCCAGGGCAGGGCTGCCACACATACCTGTGTTTGTTGGACTCACCACAGGTCACACCACCCCTGAGGGTGCCACCCTCTACCTGCAGGCTGTCCACACATTCATGTGTCCTCCTAGGGCTGTCAATAGAAAGCAGACCCTGAACACATTGTCTTGGGGCTCTGCTTAGAAAGACAGTCCCAGCAGATAAACTCCTCAGGATCCTTTATTTGAGGTGAGCTTTGGCTGTCTGCATGGGTAACTCAGGAGTGGAGTTTTTTTTTTTTTTTTTGTCCTTTCTTCATTTGGAAAGCAAATTGCCTTAACTACTTAATGTCGGTGATTTTTCATGTCTAGATACTAAATTGATGAAGGGGTATAAATGGGGCTTTCTCCTAGAACAATAGTCAAGGTAATTACCCAGGGCTCTATTCAAAAAAAAAGGGTGTCTACTTTTTCTGTGGGCACTCTATCTGTGTCTGTAGTTAACTTCACAGCAGCATAATGCATCACAGCTGCCCATGTGCTCTCGCTTGGTAAAAAGCCATTGAATGACACTGTAACAATGCAGTGCTCCATTCCACACCAGGTGCAGGGGCCCCCATGCAACAGCGATTTACATTATTTATTCTGAGGATAAGTATTATTTGCAGTGATATAATGTGCCAAAATGCCTATCACCTCTTCCATCAGTATAAACCCAAGAGATAATGTGTCTGTTAGGATGGGTAATAAGAGGGGCAGGAAAAACCAGGATCTTAAATGTAAAAGTAGACTCTGTTGTCAAAAGACAGTTTTTGCAGCAGCATAGGGTGTAATGTCATGAAGTCTCAAACATAAACTCTGGTAAGTGACCAAATATTCAATATGAAAATGACCTGTGTTAAAAAAAAAAAGGAAATAAGAAAAATATAACTGCCCTGTTTTAGACTGGTATAATACCACTTTACCTACACTCGCCAGCCCTGAAGATTGACCCTTTATCCAACAGTGTATGTCCAGCAGTTTTGAAATTAGGGATACTAGAGAGAGAATAAAGAAAACTGGTATTGTCTTCTGCTTTTAAAGGAGGGAAAAAAAGAATGGATTAGTGGCCAGAGGGAAAGTAAAGATGGCCTAGTAGGAGAAAAATGAAGAGAGGACAAAGCAAAACAATTCCAATACACAATTCCTGCAGAGTCAGGGCAGGAAACCACATACCTGAGCAGTGATTGCTGTGTTGTTACCTTTTGGTCACTCACATCACACTTTTTTAATTGATTTTTTTAAATAAATGACAACGGAATGCATTACAATTCTTATTACACATATAGAGTACAATTTTTCATATCTCTGGTTGTATACAAAGTATATTCACACCAATTCATGTCTTCATACATGTACTTTGCATAATGATGTCCATCACATTCCACCATCATTGCTAACCCCCTGCCCCCTCCCCTCCCTATCTACAGTTCTTCTATTCCTCCCATGCTCCCCCTCCCTACCCCACTATGAGCCAGTCACCTTATATCAGAGAAAACATTCGGCATTTGTTTTTTGGGGATTGGCTAACTTCACTTAGCATTATCTTCTCTAACTCCATCCATTTAGAGGCAAATGCCATGATTTTATTCTATTTTATTGCTGAGTAATATTCCATTGTGTATATATGCCACATTTTTTTAATCCATTCATCTACTGAAGGGCATCTAAGTTGGTTTCACAGTTTAGCTATTGTGATTGGCTGCTATAAACATTGATGTGGCAGTGTCCCTGTAGTATGATGTTTTAAGTACTTTGGGTGTAGACTGAAGCGAAGGATAGCTGGGTCAAATGGTGGTTCCATTCCCAGTTTTCCAAGGAATTTCCATACTTCTTTCCATATTGGCTGCACCAATTTATTGCATCGCTTTTAAATAGCTTGCCATTCATGCCGTTTATGTCTCATCTGACAGGGAAGACTCAGCCCTTGGGTCTCACAGTGAAAATATGAGGGCAGCTGTGGAGTAGAATAGAGGAGAAATTTGGTGTTTTGGGCAATAGGTATTGAAAGAGGCACCAGTAAAAACGAGGCCCCTATTATGTGGCTGAATGAATGCAAAATGCCTATCTGTCAACATGGAGGCATTAAGTCAGCCCGTCTTTGAAACAGCAGAGAGACAGGCAAGAAAATGTAACGTGTGGGGCCCCAAATGTCAGCTTTTTTATTACCAATAAAGACCAATTGGGAAAGGAGGTTGGATGTGCAGCAGTGCTGGGCTTCCCGATGGTGAGTCTCAGGGCTGAGCAGACAGCACTGGGGACCACAGGCCTCATCCCCTGGGGCATCTGCCTGGACACTTGAGCAGGAGCATTCACTCTTAAGAGCGGGTAAGGGAGAGGCTGGAACAGGGTAGGAAATCATAAGAGTGGAGATCACCATCACAGATACCTCTTAGGTACCTCAACATAAAATAACAAAAACTAAATTCTTCCTTAACTTCTTCAAATCATTCCTCTTCCCATTTTAATAAATTCTCAGGCCAAAATCTTGTAAATTTTTTTTACACCCTCCATCTCCCACTATAAGACCCCATATCCTAGCCATCAGTAAGTCCCGTTGTTTCTATCTTGAAAAATGTACCTCTCTTTGGCCTACTTTTCTTCATTGTGATGGTCACTGCTTAAGTCCATGAAGCCTGGGCAACTCTAACTGCCTAGTGGGTCATTTAGATACAGCATCCACTGTGAGTAATGGAAATCTCCACCAAACTGCTTCTTTCTTTTTTTATTTTGCCATGCTAGGCCAAGGGCCTTGTTTATACTAGACAGGCACTCTACCACTGAACTACAGCTCCCATCTCTCCACCAAACTGTATCTTAAACAGTAGGATTGATGTTCTTTCTTCTTCTTCTTTTTTTTTTTTTTTCCTTTTTTGTCACTCAAAGTAAAATTCAGATACAGGTCTTGGAGGTACTGGTTCAGTGGTTCAAGTCTGCATGGGCTCAGGTTTCTAGGATGCTGTTGGTTTTTCCTAGATTATTATCTAGGATGACTGCTGGTGCTCCTGTCATTATGTCTTTGTTTTCCCTTCCTTTTTAACATAAGAAAAAGGAGAAGAAAAAAGAAAGCTGAAGGAGTTGCATCATTAGAGTAAGAGAGCAAAACTTACCCTAAGGTTCCTCATAGCCTTCCACATACGTCTCATTAGGCAGAATAATTACAGCCACTCCTAACTCCTAGGAAAGTGAGGAATATAAGGTTTAACTAGGCCCACTGCTTTCCAGAATAAAACTCAGTTCTTTTATTTAGGAAGAAGGGGAGAGTGGCCTATTGGAAAGCCTTTGCGGTGCTACCATACATTGTTCCTCCCTTTACACCTTTACTCTGCCTCAGTTTGTTTTTCACTCATCATCTGGTAATAAATCAGCCTGTCTTCTCCATGTAGATCCCTTGAGTAGCTTTCCATTGCACTAGAGATACTGCTCACTTTCCAGCCCACAAAACTTTCTGAGCCTTCCTCTTCCGAGTTGGGTGTTTACTGTGTAACATCCGCTGGCAGCCTTCCTCCTGAGCCCCTCAGAGCTACCTTCCGCCTCCAAGACTTCACACATGCTGTGTGTGAAGGGCTCTTCCCTCCACCCTTTGCATGCTTGAGTCTTTCTCACCCTGTAGGTCTCAGCTGAAGGGCTGCCCCCTTTAGAGAGCTCTTTCTGGTCCACCTTCTTCTAGTCAGTGCACCATTACGGCACCTTATCACCAGGTCCATGTAGCCCTTATCCAAGGAGATGATGATTTCATGCCTTGTCTGCTTTTAATCATTGTGCCAGGAAGAGAAAAGACAAGTCTTAGTCATTGAGTGTGTGTGTGTGTGTGTATGTGTGTGTACATATACACACAAGTGCCTAGAACATAGAAATATGTAGCAAATCCTTGGTGGATGATGCAGTGAGTAACCTGAAAAGTGAGTTCAAAGTTCCTGGTGACCTCGACGGGCAGTTTGGAGTTGGTATTAGCATTATCCACATGTAAGAGGATTTGGGCTTGCATGTGTAATTAATCAAATCAAAGACAGAGCTCAGTAGCATTGCTGTTCTTAGAAATCATTGCAATTTACCAGACCACTGGTAATAGACTAGGGGATCTGAGGACAGTTGCGGTAGAAGACCAAACAGAGACATTCAAGCTGGAGTATCCCCACTTGTGTCCTTCCTCCAGTCTTTACTTTTACCCATTACTATTCACAAAATCCCTCTTGGCCCTGTAGTTTGATCCAGGGAAGATTGTGGAAACCACAGCTGATCCTGACCTTTAGCAGCTGCTGGCCTAGGGGTGCGTCCCAGCTGTGAAGTGTCCCAGGGACCTTCCCTTGCATCTTTGATAGCCCAGCTTTTTAAGGATGACTTGAAGAGATACCTTAAATGTAGCCTGAGTTGCAATGAAGTAGAACAGGAAGAAAAAAAAAAAAAAGATGACTACTTTCTGGATGTGAAGGGACCCAATCTTTTTTTTTTTTTTTTTAAGTTGAGGATGGACACAATACCTTATTTATTTATCCTTATAAATAAGTGGTGCTGAGGATCAAACCCAATGCCTCACCGGTGCTAGGCTAGAGCTCTACCACTGAGCCACAACCCAGCCACCACCACCCCCAACCAAATCTTTACCATGAAAATACCAGCAGTTGCCTGACTAACATGATAGGTACACACGTATTTCATCACCCTGTGAATTTTGTCTCATTTTCTGGATGAGTGTCCTTCTGGTGGAATTGTTTGTGTGTCTCCTCAGCATTTTCTGCTTTCCCAAAGCTC